TTTAAACTTAACTTACTAGTACATTATAATTAATTTACTAACTAAAGTAACTTTAAGTTAACTAATACTAGTACATGCTAGTTTCTTATTTAGTTATGTATAGTATATATATATATATATATATATATATATAGTTTGAAGCTTTCATTCATGTCTTTGCGTTTACAAAATGTCTGAAATGATTTTTGTTTTTGATATTACATTGTATCAACCCCAACACTCTCAGTCGTCTGTATTTACGTCCGACAAACGACAGTTGCCTCTAATTTCATCTTGTATCTGTAGTAAAATGTTTTCATTCTAACTAGCTTTACTGTTTATGTTCGATTTTAATATTTTATTTTGCTAATGACGTTTATCGATTGCCTGATATAAAGACCTTGTTTTTTTATTCTGAACTTGATAAATCGTTCTTCGTTAATAAACAGATGCATATTATTCATACTTAGTTGCTAAACCTGACCATTTAATGTTTACCAAAAATAACACAATTTTTAAATTTTTTTAGCAACTTTTTAAGCCGCCATGAAGTGTCTTGCCTTGTGGTGGTTAGCCCTACTTTTCGTGGTGCAAGTACAGGGAAGTGATTGGGGAGCTTGGGAGGATGAATACATCGTCAAAAAGATCAAGAAACCAGTTCCGATTCCACACCCTGTCCCGGTGCCCAAAATCATCCCTGTCCCCAAGCCTTATCCTGTATACAAGCGTGTACCTGTCCACGTTCCTGTCCACATACCTGAAATCATTCATAAGGTGCAACATATTCCAAAGATCGTCCACGTACCCAAAGAGGTCATCATCAAAAAGCCTGTACCCGTTCCGCACCCAGTCCACCATCCAGTGGTAGTCAAAGTGCCACAACCTTACGTGGTGAAAGTACCTCAGCCTTACCCTGTCCATAAGCCCTATCCTGTAAAAGTCCCAGTTAAGGTACCTAAGCCTTTCGTCGTACCCCTGCATAAAGAAGTGCCAGTACACGTGTCTGTTAAGGTGCCATTTGAAGTACCTTTGGTTAAAGAAGTACCATATTACATCAATAAGCCTGTGCCTGTCTAGTAAGTTAAATTTTATCTCAGCTTTATTGCTTATAAACTTAACTTGCATATATCCAATATAATTTGAGCTCATGTTCTATAGGCAATAAGTAGTATTCCGTTGATTTGTTTAAGAACTACAGGTACGCTAATGACTCCAGTCAAATTAGAACAGAAATTGTAACGTTACTGTGTATGTCTTATACACAGGGTTGATCTTTGGTTGAAGTACTGAAATGTCGCTGTTCTTATAGTTATGAATAGATCTAAACATTACATTAAAAACGCAGTTATTTTTTTATCTGCTTTAAATTAGGGGAAGACCGGAATTAAACTAAATTTCCCTGATAAATATCAATCTGTAATTGTATCAGATATATTAACATTTGTTTTGATCATTTTAATGTTGAACTGTTTTACACTGCCACTAGGTTAAGACTGATGATTTAAGGTCTCGGGAGAAAATCGGAAATTTTAAATGAAAGAATGGGGTATTGATTATACTTGCTTGTTAATTGAACATTGTACAAAGTTACTAGAAGGTTATCTGCCCTAACAGTCCTTAACATTGTACAAAGTTACTAGAAGGTTATCTGCCCTAACCGTCCTTAACATTGCACAAAGTTACTAGAAGGTTATCTGCCCTAACCGTCCTTAACATTGCACAAAGTTACTAGAAGGTTATCTGCCCTAACCGTCCTTAACATTGTACAAAGTTACTAGAAGGTTATCTGCCTTAACCGTCCTTAACATTATACAAAGTTACTAGAAGGTTATCTGCCCTAACAGTCCTTAATTTTGAAGTGATAGACTAGAGTGAATGTAACTAGTCAACATCACCCACCGCCAACTCTTGGGCTACTCTTTTAACAACGAATAGTGGAATTGCCCGTCACATTGTAATGCCCTTACTGCTGAAAAGGCACGTTTGGTGACGGGATTCGAAACCGCGACTCGCATATCGTGAATGAGTGCCCTAACAACCAGGCTATACCAGGCCTGCTGAGTGGTCTAAAAAAAAGACTTTATATCCGCGTTGACAGCTTCAACTAACAGCTGGGGTCTGACTCCCACTTCGGGTAAACCCTTATTTATAAATATACAGTAGGGAAATGCATTATAGCTGTCGTAGATTTGTTTGAGGCATAATAATATAGAGTTGTAAAATCACTGCTGTTTTGATCCTCTATTCTTTTGTCTCTTTTTTAAAGTATCTAAAAGTAAGAATGAAGGAAATGTGTTAATCAAAATAAAACTAAAGCTCATGTAGTTTTGAAAATAGTTTTGCTAGTTTAACATGTTTAATAAAAACAACTCTGACCATTTTATACGAGTGAGAAAAGTACTGCAGTTTGCCTAATGGGACTCGGAAATGGGCAACAATAGGACTCGGAAATGGGCAACAACTATTAGTCTTCAAATAAGATTTATAAACTATCGTTTTATGAAGTACAAATTTTACCTCTCCTGTAAAGAGTAATGATATTTTATCAAAACGTTTTACATGTACAAAAAAATACTGAAAGAAAACAACAACAGTCGAATTAAAATAAAGGGATCAGTCATATATATCAGTAAAGGAGAGGAAGAGCCGAGTGATGTAAAATCACAAAACCTGTAAAGAGTTAATGTAAAAATGAGTAAGATAAACAAGGAAAAATTTGGGAATACTTAACCCCTTTTTCATTGCAAATGGAACAAGTAGTAAGTTGAGTTAGCCATGTTCCCCCCCACACGTTTTTCTTGTTTAACTTATCCACTTTTACATGACATCTTTACATAGCTTGCTATTCCCCCCCTTATTTTTTTGTTTAACTTATCCACTTTTACATGACATCTTTACATGGTTTGCTATCTCCCCCCCCCTTATTTTTTGTTTAACTTATCCACTTTTACATGACATCTTTACATAGTTTGCTATTCCCCCCTTATTTTCTTGTTTAACTTATCCACTTTTTACATGACATCTTTACATAGTTTGCTATTCCCCCCCCTTATTTTTTGTTTAACTTAGCCACTTTTACATGACATCTTTACATAGTTTGCTATTCCCCCCTTATTTTCTTGTTTAACTTATCCACTTTTACATGACATCTTTACATAGTTTGCTGTTTTATATTACTTGACTTTTCTTCTTTTTTTAATTACATCTATACATGTATGACCCCTTTATTGCAACTTGGCTGCTTTCATACATATAAAATGTTTTGATGAGACGTAAGTTTTCAGTTGGTTATCCTAAATGAAACCTGGTGAGTGTTTGATATACTTATCTTTGTTAAAATCTTACGAAGAACACATATTTGACTTCGTTTAATTAGAGTTAAACAAAGTGATTCAGCGGTGCACCTGAACGCTATAGTTATCCATGGTTATTTTTCTTTCTGTTCTTAGTGAGGAGGAGGAAGGCTGGCACTGAAGACTGGACTTATAAAGAGGTGAATACAATTGGACGAATTCATAAATGTTACCTTTCATCAAAAGACTGTCCAAGTCTTTTGATTCCTACAACGTGTTATGTGGAAACATCCACTTTTCTAACGCTTTAAGAATACCTCCTGTAAGAATACTTCCTTTAAGAATACTTCCTGTAAAAATACTTCCTTCCTCTCATCAACTCCCTTTTCGATTCTTCTTGAAAACCAAATTAAGAGTGCTGGTCTGTAAAACAGAGCTATTCTTTGTTTATTTTTTTTTACTTTTGTAAAACATTGTAAATATATTCATGTTGGACATTTGCCTTGGTTGTAATAAAAACTTGAACACCAACTACTGGAATACTGAATTTTATTCCTCCAAGTAAAAAAAAAATCACATCAAAAATAAGATATCAATGAATTTCTGATGGGGGAAAACAAAGGCTGATAATAAATATGAAGACTGTAAATAAGACACAAAGCATTTTTATTTACAAAAACTTCGCCCCCCCCCCCCAGTGGCACAGCGGTATGTCAGCGGACTTACAACGCTAGAAAC